CGCGCCCCGCGGCCGCCGGCCCCGCGCGCCCCCCGCGCCGCTCGCGCCCTGTGACAGCGCCCTCCTGCCGTGCGCCCCGGGCCGCCCCGCCACCGCCGCCAGTAGCCTCTCGCAACCACCCCTCGCAACTCGGCTGTGGGGGCGGCGACGACCAGTCGGTCCCCGCCAGCCACGCTCCCGCTGCCCGGCAGGCGCTCCGCACCCAGGTAGGTGCAGCCGGCGCCCCGGCCCGCTTTGTCCCGGCCGGCAAGGAGGCGCGCTTTGTGCGGCCGCGTGCAGGCGGCGGGGTCGGTCCTGGGGAGCTCAGGAGGGAGGATGCGACGCCGAGTGCCCGTGTCCTGTGCGGGTCAACAAGGTACCACTGTGAAGACTGTGGGGGCCGAGGCTTGGGGCACGCGGACCTCTATGGAGCGCAGAGAAGAGTCTGGAAGAGTTGGGCTGACAGACGCGCTGATGGATCGGGGTCGCCTGGGCTCGGAGCGCTTCTGGCAGCGCATGTTTTTAACCGTGCGTCGGTTCCTGCGGCGGACCGGCCAGTGCTGATAGTGGGACTGGGGACGCACTAGGTCTGCTTGGGGCCTGTGAATACCCAGCTTCATCTAGCTCCGCAGCTTGTTAGCAGCTGGCTATGGGGCTGCGTGGGCTTTTCCTCTCCACTGTGTCAGCTATAGCTCCATACTGCCCTTTAGGGTTTTCATTGATAAGAGAAGTGGACACTGTTGGTGGAGCTGGCTGTAGCTGCTTGAGAGGATAAATCCTCTTCACGCAGTGAGGAAGCGTTGTGTAAGGTGTTTCTGGGGCCCTGTACAGTTACAGGCCTGTGGATTCTTCCTGTCACACAACTACCCAGCAAGGCTGCCTGCCTAGGTCTCCAGTTCAGGCTCCACACTCCGTTTACACCATCCACTTTGGCTCCAGCCTCCTGCACCCCAGGAGCCCGTGACACTGCATGCTTGTCTGAGATGCAGACTTGCCCCTGTCCTAACATGATTTCTCTGTGGGCTGTTTCTCAGCTGTCTTCCCCCATTACAATTCCAATTTTGAGAGCCTGGGTTTGTAGGTATTGTCAGTCGATATCCACAACCCAGTTTCTCTTGAAGGTGAAGAGAGAAGAGTGAGTTTCAAATGTGTACGTGTGTATCTCAGCTTGAGCGTGGGGGCAACCTCTCGGCATGTTGAGAGGAGCACAGGATGGAGGGCGGGGGGGGGGGGGGGATGTGAAGGAAAAGCTAAGATGGAGCTTAGACTTTTCCGGTAAAGAAACTGATGTCAGCTCAAGCTTAGCTACGGGGGTGGCAGTCGAGGGGAAGTGAGTCTGAATAATTATGCCCCGGGTGAAGGATTTTTCATTTATTTATTTTTTTAGAGCAGGTGATCTTCCTGCCAGTTTCTTGGGTGCGGAGATTACATGTGTGCAACACCATGCTCAGCCTAAATAGCAAATTCTAAAGGAGAAAATGAAAATCTCAATGTCTTCAGCCCAGCTCCCAAATTTCTCACTGACTGGGGAAAGGTTGGGGTCCCCCCTCCTTGTCCTGATGCATCTTTCTCTTGCTTTTTAAAGCACCCAGGTTTCACTGTGATTCTTTTTTCTTTTTTCTCCATGCCAATCCATCCATTTATAATTTAAATCAAATGAGATTTTTACTTTACCAAAGTCCCTATCTGCCCTAATGTATTACTTACCCTCTGGTCATTTATTCAGCTTTGACTTCTAGAGGCTGCCAAGCCCTGCACTCCTTCCTCTAGTTGTCAGTTCCGTTTGATGAGGTGATGAGTTCTAAAGCCCGCCTCATACTCATCTTCTCTCTGTCCTGGCCTGCGGCTCTCGCTCCTGAGAAGAGGTATTGCGTTTAGCTTGGGATAGTGCCTGCACACACACACACAGACACACAGACACACACACACGCCACCCACAAACACACTCACTCCAGACACCCTGTGCCATCTCAGCTCTCAGAGGTCCCTAAGTGGTCCCAGCTGCTTGCTTGTCATCTTTGGACATTAGTGGCCGTCCATGAGCTGCCTGGGAATGAAAGTCCCGGGCCCATTCCAGATGTGCCAGGCTGGTCTGTTTCAGTGGCCCAGCCCTGAAAGTCCTCCGGCTGAGAAGCAGGCCTTTCCTCCTCCATCTTCATTCTTTCCTTGAGCCTTCTCCTCATCCCTAAGAAAGACATTGATTCAGTGACCAAAATAAGAATTATGGGAAATTCCTGTGATACCTCTTTATTGAATACCTGTTTTGCTGAATGATCAATTCTCCAGTTCTCAAGAAGTTAAAAGTGGAACAAGCAGAGACACATAAACAACTAATAACTGTGTTAAGCACAGTAACAGCTGCATGCAGAGTGCTAAATGAAGCACAGAGGAGGGAGGTAAAGAACGGGGGAAATAGAAGGCAAGGCAGGGCAGGAAATGGGGTTCCTAATTTTTCAAACCAGTGTCAGTGGAGGAAGGTGAGAGAGGGACAGCTTCCTGCAGGACCAGCCCATAGCTAAGCAGTCTGTACCCAGCAGTACTTGGGTAGGGATAGGTTCCAGCAAGACCTTCCCAGCCACACATCCCTGGAAGGTCAGAATCCCAGGCCAGGACACTGGTAGGTTCTGGGAGGAGCAAAGGTGTGATGGGGTCTGCAGAGAAGTTGGCAGCACTTCCCTACATAAAGGAGTAGTAAGGACATTGGCAACAAACAAGCAACAACAAGAAACAGCCCTGGGGGCTGGCTTTAGTAGGTTTGTAGGAGTTTTTTTTTTTCCTATAAAAGGAAAACAGTAAAACTAATTAGGAAAACTGGGTGTCTTAATGGGAGTGCTTCTGGTTGTTCTAACACCCTTACCTTAGCTGAGCTGAGTGGCCTCTAGCTGGGAGACTTTTAACTCCAAACACAGTAGGGCTGAGGGCAGTCCTTCTGAGTCACACTTTAGTTTCTTGTTCAAAACCAAAAGTGTTGGGTGACTGGCTCAGGTCATGCCTGGCTTATAGTGCTCTTTGCTCAGGGTGATTTGACTTTGTCCTACAATTTAGTTTTATATAAATATTTACAGAGCAAATCCAGTGACTCTATTGGTAGAAAATGATGGGGAGGATCTCCTAGGCCTAATGGAGACTAAGCTCTCTGTCTATAGAGTAACAAAAGACCCAAGTCTAGGGACTGGAGACCTTTATTCTTTACAACTTGGCCTCCTTAGCTTTAACTGTCAATGGGATAAAGCCTTGTCATCTGAGAGGAAAGCCTCCATTAAGGAATTGCCTAGAACAGACTGGCCTGTGGTCATGTCTCTGGGGGTTGTCCAGATTATTAATTGATGTAAGAGGTCTCAGTCCACACTGGGCAGCACCTTTCCCTGAGCAGCTGGTCCTGAGCTATAGCCAAAAAAAAAAAAAAAAGTAAGCACAGTTGCTGCCCTGACTTTCCTCAGCGATGGACTGTGACTTGAAATTTATAAGCCAAATAAATCCTTCCCTAAGTTGATTTTGGTCAGAGGGTTTTATCACAAGAACCAAAAGGAAACTAGAACATACCTTCTTCATGCCACTCCCAGGGAAATGCTGGTGTGAGTCAGGCGGGCAGCCCTGCCCTTAAAGAAGACCAGGCTCAGCTCTTTGGAACCAGCTAATCATAGTAGCCAAGATCTGTTGTGTCCATGTGAACACACCATCCTCCACACCAAGGATTTCACCACCCAGCCTTCCCCCAGACCACATGAGAGGGTTTTCTCCTTTCTTCCCAGATCAGGTATTGCCAAGGTCATAGTCCTTGGGTAGGAAGTAGATCGTGAGTTTAAAATGCCTGTGTTGGAGATGTATTAGGAAATTGAGAAATGCAGGGTTTAGAGTTCTGTTAAAGTTCACAGCTCTCTACCCCCATGCCCAGGATTGGCTACTAAATGTTGTATTACACAAGAACTTTGAACCTAACAGACTTTCAGAAAAAATCTCCAGCAGTTAATCTGAAGCTCATTTGAGGGCAGAGCATGTTTGCTTAAGTTAAGATCATGAATAGTACTGGCAAGCATGCGTGATCCAGACACCACAGCCTGGCCACAAGCATGTGTGATCCAGACACCACAGCCTGGCCACGGAAGGCTGAGATGAGTGCTGATCCCTCAGGGCACTGCTGAGGGGCTTTGGGATGGTCAGGGAGATGTTCTCTGTATCAGTCAGAGGCAATGATGAAAGCAGAAAGAGGCTGAAAAGATGGCTCAGTGGTCAAAAGCAGTGGTAGTTCTTTCAGAGGACCCAGGTTCAATTCCTAGCACCCACATATCAACTCACAACCAGCTGTAACTTCAGTTCCAGGGAATCCAGCATCCTCTTTTTGCCTCTCTGGAAACCAGGCAAACACATAGTATACGCGCGCATGTGCACACACACACACACACACACACACACATACACATATATGCAGCAAAACTTTCATATCCATAAAACAAAATTGAAAAAAAATTAGGGCAAGTTGCTCTTTTTAAAAGTCAAAAAGAACCTTGCTTCAAAACCTAGTCCTGTAGCTTCAAGCCAAATAAACTTGAGCTTGTGGGTTAACTGCAGCAGCATGGCTACTTCATCTGTGAATCAGGGAAGGCTCTCTGCTCATGACTGACAGGGACACACAGCACAACTGACATTTGTTAAGAACTTAGGAAGTGGAGCTGGAGAGATGGCTCAGTGGTTAAGAGCACTGACTGCTCTTCCAGAGGTCCTGAGTTCAGTCAATTCCCAGTAACCATATGGTGGCTCACAACCATCTGTAATGTGATTGGATGCCCTCTTCTGGTGTGTCTGAAGACAGCTACAGTGTATGCATATACATAAAATAAATAAATAAATCTTAAAAAAAAAAAGAACTTAGGAAGCATTTTCTGTAGTAAGAAAAAGAACCCCAGAGGTAAGAACCATGCTGTGTCCTCCTGTGAACACCTAGACATTTGGTTTATGCCTGTCTCAGTGCAGCCTTCTTAATGTATCTGTGGTAATTTACCTCAACTCTAGAGCAGAATCTGAATCTGGGTCTTTAATCTCCAGGTACTTATAGAGAAGACTCAGGATAAGAGTAGAACTGGAGACTAAAAACATCATTTTCTGTTTACTGCCCAAGGAGACTTATATCTGCTGTGTGCATTATTACTCTCAGACCTTTGCTTCCTTCAGCATATGTGCTCTTCACTATGGAGCTCTGGCCTATGATCCTTGAAGCCCTTCCAGGCTCTGTTGCTTCCTTCTTGCCTTCCTGCCTGCCTTCCTTCCTTCCTGCCTGCCTTTCCTGTCTTCCTTCAAGTGCATCTGTCTCTCCTTGTTCCTGTCTAGCCACTCCCTCAGGGAGGCTTCCCAATGGGGGGCTAATTTTCACCAACAAAAGAAAGCTACTCAGCCATAACCTCTGCTCCCAGCAAAGCAAAGGAGAGCTAGGGCAAGCAGATAGAAGGGCATGATAACCCGGGCATGATGCTGCACACCTTCAGTCCCAGCATGTGGGAGGCAGAGGCTGGGGAATCTCTTAAGTTTAAGGTCAGCCTGGTTTACAAAGCAAGTTCCAGGACAGGCAGGGGTACAGAGAGAAGCTATGTCTTGAAAAATACAAACAAAAAGAAGAAGAAAGGCCTGAGGAGTGGCGGCCCCCCTCCCCAAGGCGCTGCTCAGCAGCCTGTCTTCTTGTAGGAACAGGAAGCCACCCACCACCATGAGCAGCACTCTGTCACCCACTGACTTCGACAGCTTGGAGATCCAGGGCCAGTACAGTGACATCAACAACCGCTGGGACCTGCCCGACTCAGATTGGGACAATGACAGCAGTTCGGCCCGCCTCTTTGAGAGGTCCAGAATTAAGGCCCTGGCAGGTACGGGAGGGGCAGGGAGGTGAAGAGACTGGTAGAGGTGGGTTTATGAGCTTGGGATGGAGAATCTTTCTGTTTTATGAGAAGACTTGCTTCATTTTCTAAGCTGCTGTTCTGAAGAAACAGATAGAGACCCCTGGTCACCAGATGCAACTTCAAGGATAAACCTCGCGTAGTGTACAGCACCCCCTAGCTTCCTTCTCCCTAGCCTACAGATGTCACACACATTAACCCCTGGAAGGAGCCAGCTGGGTAGATGAGCTTAGTTTCATGACATTAGCCCTGCATCAGGTCCCCAGCCCTGCCTTATTACTCCAGTTGTCACTTCTGTCCCCATCCACCTCTCCCTCACCTTCCCTCCCAACGTGCCCTCCCTTATTTCTACAGTCATTTCCCACAGCTGTTCCCCTCCTGGCCCATTATCTTCCTGCCACTCTCCCGCCCCCTCCTACCTGCTGCCTGTTACTGCAGTTGTTTTATTTACCTGTTCCCTGAAGCAGTTCTCTTAGCAGCTGCCCTCCCATTCTCTCAGGGCTTGTGCTCCACCACCACCCCCCCTCGGCCCCTGCCCTCCCCTATGGCCAGGGCTCTCCCCTTGGCTGAGCTGGGACAAACAAACCAGTCTGACTGGCCTCCTGCATGGGGGGGGGGGAATAGTGGTCATAGCAACAGGAGTGCAATTGCCACCTGACACCACCACCAGCCAGTGGCTGCTTTGGGATTGAGTCACCTACACACCCTAAGGCCACCCACCCAAGCTGCCTTCCACATTCATCCACCCTCACGCTGACCTGCCCATGGGCCAGTCAGTTCCAATGTGAGAGCTCATTACTTCCACTTAAGGAGTGGTTTCCCAGTGGGGCAGCTCCCAGCAGAAGAGATTTGGAGGTCTAGATGATTTTTTACAAATATCATTTCTCAAGAAAGATGAACTTCAGAATCTTTAGACATGTAGTCCAGAAACTCATGATTCTTAAAAGCTTTCCCAGGAAGCTGTACTCAGCCAGCCCAGCATCAGACAATGGTTCCAGCTTGTTGGGTTCATGGGTCACTTTCTCCTGGCGTCTTCCTAGCTGAGACTGAAGGCCGGCTGATGAAATACTCATATTAGTAGCTCAGAGAAGACAGAAAACGTGGGGCATGGAAATGTCACCTCTGTTGGAGAAGTGTGCCTGGCACCCTGGTTTTAGATGCATGTGTCCTCTGTCAACTGTCACTGATGTATGATGCACATGCTACCCAAAACTTTCATGGTATCTGCAGTGACACATACCTCCCAGAACTGTCACTGTGTCTGTACAGGTCACATGCCAACCAATGTAATCACGATGTCTATGTGCACATGCTGCATGCCACCCAATAAACTTGCCAGGTCTAGTTCCTATGACAGGTGCTACCTAAAACTCTCACCGCATCAGTGAGCATGCCACATGTCACCTAGTACTGCTACCAAGCCTGAGCACTTGATACATATGTCCCAGTATTGTCAAACTGCACATAAGACCCTTGCCAATCAGAACTGTCGCAGTACACGCACACACACACACACACACACACACACACACACACAGGCAGGCACACTCAGTGCTCTCATATAGTGTTTATTTCCCTGAAGAGGCATCTGTGAATGGGCATTGCTTTGTAAGTACGGTGCCACTCACTCAACAGGTCCCAAATAAACCCTAAATAATTAAAGATGAGGAGGAACAAGCGTAGGCTAAGAGTGGCAGAAGCAGAGACCCAATAAGAGGTAGGAAGGGCACCTGATAACTTGCCCAGTGTTACCGGGCACCTGATAGATGTACTTAATATTAGGGTGTACAGGGGCTGGGATATTCACTGAGGGGCCTGGTGGGCAGCGGAAAAGGGCTGATACTGGAGGACAGTCACAGTACTTACTCCCCAGAGGAGGTCATAGAAGTCAACACCTGGCTTCTCTTCCAGGATCTTGCTTCCGCATTTCTTTGCTCTCAGGGCTGAGATCAAAGCTCAGGCGTCCTGGAACAAGACCACCTAGAGATGCCCAGAGAGGCTGGCCCACCTGCAGACCTTCTGAAAGCAGGAGTTTGCTTTGGGGCCCCCTCTGGCAGGTTTTCCCTAGTCTTGGGCAACTAGTAGCCTGACGAACAGGTCTCTGGGTGCTGGCAACTCCCTCCTCCGCCCCTGCAGGGCCTGGCCATGCCCCAACTGGCTCCGCCTCCTAAGCAGCCCGCCCCTCCCCCGCCACTGTCCGACCTGTTTGTCTGGAGCTGCCTCTGTCTCCTCTCCCTACAGCCAGGTGTGCCCCACACACTGTCTCAGAAGCTGAGGCATCCCATAACTTTTTCCCCACTCCTTGAAACTCCCAGCATCCTTGAAACCACTCCACCCAACCAGGTACGGAGGAAGCCTTTTTCTGGAAGCCCCCCCCACCCCCCCAGCACAGGCTCAGGGGATACACACTCAAGGCCCTGCCCCGGCAGAGGAGCATGGACTCTGGGCCACAGGCTGAGTAGGAGGCAGCAGGCACCATGAGTACAAACGGAGTGGGCAGGGTCCATGGAAATGGCCTGAACGGGGCTGG